GTTAATCAGCGACGTGTGTGGTCCATCAAGATCAGTTATTCCGCGACGTATGTGGTCCATCAAGATCAGTTAAAACGCGACGTGTGTGGTCCATCAAGATCAGTTAGTCCGCGACGTGTGTGGTCCATCATGATCAGTTAGTCTGCGACGTGTGTGGTCCATCATGATCAGTTAGTCCGCGACGTGTGTGGTCCATCAAGATCAGTTAGTCCGCAACCTGTGTGGTCTATCAAGATCAGTTAATCCGCGACGTGTGTGGTCCATCAAGATCAGTTAGTCAGAGACCTGTTTGGTCTATCATGATCAGTTAATCCGCGACATGTGTGGTCCATCAAGATCAGTTAGTTCGCGACGTTTGTGGTCCATCAACATCAGTTAATCCGCGACGTGGGTGGTCCATTATTATCAGTTAATCCGCGACGTGTGTGGTCCATAATGATCAGTTAGTCCGCGACGTGTCTGTCCGTCAGGATCGGTTAGTCTGTCACGTGTCTGGTCTATCAGGATCAGTTAGTCTGCGACGTGTGTGGTCTATCATGATCAGTTAGTCTGTCATGTGTGTGGTCTATCATGATCAGTTAGTCCGCGACGTGTGTGGTCTATCAGGATTTGTTAGTTTGTCACGTGTGAGGTCTTTCATGATCAGTTAGTCTGCGACGTGTGGGGTCTATTATGATCTGTTAGTCTGTCACGTGTGTGGTCTATCAGGATCTGTTAGTCTGTCACGTGTGTGGCCTATCATGATCAGTTAGTCTGCGACGTGTGTGGTCTATCAAGATCTGTTAGTCTGTCACGTGTGTGGTCTATCATGATCTGTAAGTCTGTCACGTGTGTGGTCTATCATGATCAGTTAGTCTGCGACGTGTGTGGTCTATCATGATCAGTTAGTCCGCAACGTGTGTGGTTTATCATGATCAGTTAGTCTCCGACGTGTGTGGTCTATCAAGATCAGTTCGTCTGCGACTTGTGTGGTCTATCATGATCAGTTAGTCCGCGATGTGTGTGGTCTATCATGATCAGTTACTCCACGACGTGTGTGGTCTATCATGATCAGTTAGTCTGCGACGTGTGCGGTCTATCAGGATCAGTTAGTCTGTCACGTGTGTGGTCTATCATGATCAGTTAGTCTGCGGCGTGTGTAGTCTATCATGATCAGTTAATCTGCAACGTGTGTGGTCTATCATGATCAGTTAGTCTGCGACGTGTGTGGTCTATCAGGATCAGTTAGTCTGTCACGTGTGTGGTCTATCAGGATCAGTTAGTCTGCGACGTGTGTGGTCTATCATGATCAGTTAGTCCTTCACGTGTGTGGTCTATCATGATCAGTTAGTCTGCGACGTGTGTGGTTTATCAGGATTTGTTAGTTTGTCACGTGTGAGGTCTATCATGATCAGTTAGTCTGCGACGTGTGTGGTCTATCAGGATCTGTTAGTCTGTCACGTGTGTGGCCTATCATGATCAGTTAGTCTGCGACGTGTGTGGTCTATCAGGATCTGTTAGTCTGTCACGTGTGTGGTCTATCATGATCTTTTAGTCTGTCACGTGTGTGGTCTATCATGATCAGTTAGTCTGCGACGTGTGTGGTCTATCATGATCAGTTAGTCTGTCACGTGTGTGGTCTATCATGACCAGTTAGTCTGCGACGTGTGTGGTCTATCAGGATCTGTTAGTTTGTCACGTGTGTGGTCTATCATGATCAGTTTGTCTGCTACGTGTGTGGTCTATCAAGATCAGTTAGTCTGCGACGTGTGTGGTCTATCATGATCAGTTTGTCTGCGACGTGTGTGGTCTATCATGATCAGTTAGTCTGCGACGTGTGTGGTCTATCATGATCAGTTTGTCTGCTACGTGTGTGGTCTGTCATGACCAGTTAGTCTGCGACGTGTGTGGTCTATCAGGATCAGTTAGTCTGTCACGTGTGTGGTCTATCATGATCAGTTAGTCTGCGACATATGTGGTCTATCATGATCAGTTAGTCTGCGACGTGTGTGGTCTATCATGATCAGTAAGTCTGCGACGTGTGTGGTCTATCATGATCAGTTAGTTTGCGACGTGTGTGGTCTATCATGATCAGTTAATCTGCGACGTGTGTGGTCTATCATGATCAGTTAGTCTGCGACGTGTGTGGTCTATCAGAATCAGTTAGTCTGTCACGTGTCTGGTCTATCAGGATCAGTTAGTCTGCGACGTGTGTGGTCTATCATGATCAGTTAGTCTGTCACGTGTGTGGTCTATCATGATCAGTTAGTCTGCGACGTGTGTGGTCTATCAGGATTTGTTAGTTTGTCACGTGTGAGGTCTTTCATGATCAGTTAGTCTGCGACGTGTGGGGTCTATTATGATCTGTTAGTCTGTCACGTGTGTGGTCTATCAGGATCTGTTAGTCTGTCACGTGTGTGGCCTATCATGATCAGTTAGTCTGCGACGTGTGTGGTCTATCAAGATCTGTTAGTCTGTCACGTGTGTGGTCTATCATGATCTGTAAGTCTGTCACGTGTGTGGTCTATCATGATCAGTTAGTCTGCGACGTGTGTGGTCTATCATGATCAGTTAGTCCGCAACGTGTGTGGTTTATCATGATCAGTTAGTCTGCGACGTGTGTGGTCTATCAAGATCAGTTCGTCTGCGACTTGTGTGGTCTATCATGATCAGTTAGTCCGCGATGTGTGTGGTCTATCATGATCAGTTACTCCACGACGTGTGTGGTCTATCATGATCAGTTAGTCTGCGACGTGTGCGGTCTATCAGGATCAGTTAGTCTGTCACGTGTGTGGTCTATCATGATCAGTTAGTCTGCGGCGTGTGTAGTCTATCATGATCAGTTAATCTGCAACGTGTGTGGTCTATCATGATCAGTTAGTCTGCGACGTGTGTGGTCTATCAGGATCAGTTAGTCTGTCACGTGTGTGGTCTATCAGGATCAGTTAGTCTGCGACGTGTGTGGTCTATCATGATCAGTTAGTCCTTCACGTGTGTGGTCTATCATGATCAGTTAGTCTGCGACGTGTGTGGTTTATCAGGATTTGTTAGTTTGTCACGTGTGAGGTCTATCATGATCAGTTAGTCTGCGACGTGTGTGGTCTATCAGGATCTGTTAGTCTGTCACGTGTGTGGTCTATCAGGATCTGTTAGTCTGTCACGTGTGTGGTCTATTAGGATCAGTTAGTCTGCGACGTGTGTTGTCTATCAGGATCTGTTAGTCTGTCACGTGTGTGGCCTATCATGATCAGTTAGTCTGCGACGTGTGTTGTCTATCAGGATCTGTTAGTCTGTCACGTGTGTGGTCTATCATGATCTTTTAGTCTGTCACGTGTGTGGTCTATCATGACCAGTTAGTCTGCGACGTGTGTGGTCTATCAGGATTAGTTAGTCTGTCACGTGTGTGGTCTATCATGACCAGTTAGTCTGCGACGTGTGTGGTCTATCAGGATCTGTTAGTTTGTCACGTGTGTGGTCTATCATGATCAGTTAGTCTGCGACGTGTGTGGTCTATCAGGATCTGTTAGTCTGTCACGTGTGTGGTCTATCAGGATCTGTTAGTCTGTCACGTGTGTGGTCTATTAGGATCAGTTAGTCTGTCACGTGTGTGGTCTATCAGGATCTGTTAGTCTGTCAGGTGTGTGGTCTATCATGATCAGTTAGTCTGCGACGTGTGTGGTCTATCAGGATCTGTTAATCTGTCACGTGTGTGGTCTATGAGGATCTGTTAGTCTGTCACGTGTGTGGTCTATCATGATCAGTTAGTCTGTCACGTGTGTGGTCTATCATGATCAGTTAGTCTGCGACGTGTGTGGTCTATCAGGATCTGTTAGTCTGTCACGTGTGTGGTCTATTATGATCAGTTAGTCTGCGACGTGTGTGGTCTATCAGGATCTGTTAGTCTGTCACGTGTGTGGTCTATCAGGATCTGTTAGTCTGTTACGTGTGTGGTCTATCATCCCCATTCTGGCACTGGATGCCCATCATTACAATGGTTTGCAGCAGACTTTGTAGCCAGTGACATTTCCTACATGCGGCCAGAGTGACCCTGATGATGATCCCAGCATGTTGCACGTTCATTGCCTCTGATAGCCAGGTTCGTGTCACAGTTTAATCAAAAGTGAAAAGTGAGTCTATGTTCCGATTCCGACTTTATCTTCAGCATATGTTTATGAATCACTATCAAATAGCTATGATACCAGGTATTCGCGAACAGGTGTGATTATCGTGCCATTTCAGTGGCATCAGTTAAAACATATTGACATGAAGAAAACAACAACAAACATATAAGAGACAAAGAATAAACAAAGCCAGCTTATTTAGACTCACGAAGCCACTTGCCTCGGGATATGTTATGCGACATTGTTGCCGCACATACAAGGAAGTTTGTTCCTTCATCCGTGACCAGTAACTTTATCTGCCGCCTCATCTACCCCTCCGGGCTACGCATACACGAACCTGGGGCTCGGTTTATTGTTTGAGCTTTACAAATGTTTCTTTTTAAGGGCGATTCTATTGTACATTTCAAACACTTCGGACTTACTGGAGCTTTAATGGCACAAACATCATGTCAATACACGTGCACCCTCCTGTTGATGAACACCGCACCTGTATGTAACAATCACACATGCATACACGTGCACTCCCTTGTTGCCGAACAGATCTACAGATACAATTACACTTGCATACTCATGCATGCATGTATACGACTATTATGAGAGGCACGGGTGGCCCTGTCGTCAGAGGCGCCGCGATTCGCTATACAGATTTGCGTCCCTTATGCGCACCAGAATTCTATGGTCGTGTGTTCGAATCCCGTCCCGATAAAGTTTCTAGGTTTGTCAGCACCATACCCATGCTTGTGGGTTTCACAATGTGGTAAACGTCTGAGACCTGCATCACTTCGGGCTTTCCTCCCGCATTAAGCTGATATGCCGTGACATAACTGGAATATGTTCAAAGCGGCGTTAAACCCAACTCACTCACTCTTAATATTATGAAAATATACACCGTGAAATGTATCAGTGACCATAACATTTTATTGATAACTGAGTTAATAATAATAATAATGATATGACTTTAAGTCTGTATGTATAGATAGACGATCGCACCTCCACTGTGGGATTACAAACTGCTGTCATAATATAAAGAAAATGTGACCAAAAGTGGGTAAATAACAAACTTTCCTGGGTACAATATGAATTTTAGATGATAGTTTTACAGGGCATATTGCCGCCATCCACAGCCCAATGAAACATCGGTACACGTTTAATCTCCAAATAAACAGAGGACTTTAACGGTATTGGCTTGGGACGAATCTCCGTGTGAAATATAGGAACATGTTTGCCTTTGAGTGTACACATTACCTAATGTATTTATATATGTCAATAATAAGTACATCATATTCTTGTAAAATATATCAACATGTTAATAAACATCACAATAGTGCCAGTTGAGATGACGCAATGGGGATGTGAAACAATGGTTACAGAAAGGACGTGTTTGATCCGGGATTAGGTAAAATATCAGAATCCATATGCATTCAAAGGATCGAGCAGGCAATTAGATACATCCTTGAATAACTCTCTTTAAATATACATAGAAATCTAATTACACATAGCATACATTCCGAGACAATATACCCTGTTATGACATATGGCATTCGCTCGTGATCTCGCAGGAAATCGTACAGGGATTTGTCAAGTCACTCTCAAACACAATGTCGTGACTAAACAAGGAAGATGCGAGTCCATCACGCCTGTAACCGCACTCCATGGGCTGTCACGGTGTCTGGTGGCTAGCTGGACGTAACTCGTCTGGAAACTGCCGTGGCTGTCAGTAAATGTGAATGTAAGTGGACTTCGCTATAACGCCGATTAAGCTCATTACAGCTGAAATAAGCTAAATGTGACATAGGTTTACCAATGTGGAGACACACACGAGTACGTGCACTCTATCAAGGACCCTAGGTCCCCGTCACAGGGCTGAAGTACTTCTGTATAGTAACTTACAATTCTCTACTCTCTATATACAATGTAGCGAGAGACTCGTGGCGTCTTCGCCAGATAATATGGCAGTCTAAATCAAAACAACACAGCTCCCAAGCATACACGTCAGTTATGGTTCTGCTGTTACATGCTACGTCGTCCTTCACCTTTACACAGTGGTCAAGGTCGCCAATCAGCGGTGCGTATGTCCGCTGTATCTCTAAGTGACAAATGTAGAGAACCCGACTTGCGAAGTTGGACGTGATGCTTGATGAGGACGCTGAGTCTAGAAGTTCTCGAAGTGGTGGGTGTAGCTTGGCCCCTCCAGAGTGTTGAGGTAACTACATGCTGCCTGGACTGAGTTGGTCATTGGGCCTGGACCACAGCTGAAGACGCCCACGCGGCGAACCTGCCAGAACAGAGACAACCTATCATGCAGTACTCGTGGACTCATGCATATGTCATTATACAAATAATTACCCCTGACGAGGTCAATATGCAAAACCAAGGACCCGACCCCTGAGGTGGTCTTTAAACCGTCCCGTGTTTCATTATAGTAACTTAGCAGCGAACCGTGAAATGGTCGTACCAGACGCCATCTTGTTTTCTAGCAGACAATCAATATTCATCAGGTGACGAGTTAGTATTCGAGGTCGGTGTCACGTGATTTTGGGTTGTACATTGACATATATTGTTTCGCCACGTGGTAAGGATGAATGGAACGGCATGATTCTTACTGACCAAGTCTGAAGTGATTCCTGGTGATACAGACCTGTGGGTGTTCATAGTGGAGAGAGTTGAGGAACTCATCAAACTCGGGCCGCCCGAAGTGGGTGACAGCCCGGAGGCCAGTCAGCAGGCTGCGGTTTTCCACCTTCTGGAAGTGTCGCTCACAGATGTACTGAAACAGAGGCCCTTGTTTATATGTATGTTGTTTAACGCCACACTCTGCATTAACCCACCTACATGAAGACGGCCTGTAAAAAGTCGAGTTTGGACCAGATAATCGAGTGATCGATATTGTGAATGGCTTCCTGTTCTAGTTCTGAACACTACCGAGGTAATCAGTGTCTCACATACCAACATGGTGGTCCTCAGATCGAACTTCTGCTGGAACTGCGTGACGAAGATGTGGACGCTGACGATGTTGTGCTTGTCCTTGTTCTCCACATCCCTGATGATGTCAACCAGCCACTCGTAGTGCTTCTGGGTGCGCGTCACCCACACGAAGTACACCTACATACGAGATATATACACTCCTAGATACCTGACACACATAGCATTGTCCATTGATTGCTACTTTCAGTTTTCTTGACAGACGGTTGACACCAAGGCGACAAGATAAGGATGTTTTTTGGTTTGGTTTGTTGTTTATCGCCGCATTCACCAGTATTCCAGGTATATGACGGCGTTCTGTAAATAATCGAGTCTGGACCTGACAATCCAGTGATTGACATCATGAGCAGCGATACATGCAATTGGGATACGATGACATGCATCAACCGAGCCTGAGCACCAAATCCCGTCAGTCGCCTCTTTCGACAAACATAGTCGCCTTTTACGGCACGCAAAGGTTGCTGAAAACCCGGATCTTCACGGGTCAGGAAGTAATCTGTGTGACTCCACGCCCTGCCACACACTCTCCGTCAAATGGAGTACATCCCAGGCCGCATCTTAGGGTACTGAGATTCTCAAATGTAATATGAATGTATTCAGCCCCACTTTGTTCACCAATGTAGCGGTCGTAAACTTTCCGAGTGTGATGTCACCTGAGCGAGGCCTCCATGCCCTGCCAAGTGTACATGTTAGCTTCACAATTAGCTTGTAATGACAAGCTGACATGCTCTCATCAACATCGTAAATATTTTGAGAAAAGTAGCTCTCGTTTGAAGTTAGACCTACCTGTAACCAACATCAACACAAAAACATTTCTGCTTGTAATGCCTGTTTACCTTTTTACATGTAAAGCGAGCCCCCGTCTGTGACTTGAACGCAATGTCTTTGAGAATGGAGGCAAACGGCGTCACGCCTATCCCGCCACCCACAAGCACTGCGATGTCGAATGTGTACCAGTCCTGATGCCCCTCGCCGAATGGCCCGTCGAGATACAACTAGAACAGACGTACCACGAGGACTACAATGCCTAGAACATAGAATACACCTGCATTGCTTCTGAAAGATCGCCCTCCAACGTACATCTGGCAACATTTGCTTTTGCCTCAACCACAATTCCCAAAGTGTCATTCAAAGACTCTCGTGGCATTCCAAAACGCCCTGGCCCACCGAAAGACTGCCTGGTCACACTAACCACAGCCTGGTCACTCTAACCACAGCCTGGACACACTAACCACAGCCTGGTCACACTAACCACAGCCTGGTCACACTAACCACAGCCTGGTCACACTAACCATAGCCTGGTCACACTAACCACAGCCTGGTCACACTAACCACAGCCTGGACACACTAACCATATCCTGGTCACATTTACCACAGCCTGGACACACTAACCACAGCCTGGACACACTAACCACAGCCTGGTCACACTAACCACAGCCTGGTCACACTAACCATAGCCTGGTCACACTAACCATAGCCTGGTCACACTAACCACAGCCTGGTCACACTAACCATAGCCTGGTCACACTAACCACAGCCTGGTCACACTAACCACAGCCTGGACACACTAACCATATCCTGGTCACATTTACCACAGCCTGGACACACTAACCACAGCCTGGACACACTAACCACAGCCTGGTCACACTAACCACAGCCTGGTCACACTAACCATAGCCTGGACACACTAACCATAGCCTGGTCACACTAACTACAGCCTGGTCACACTAACCACAGCCTGGTCACACTAACTATAGCCTGGTCACACTAACCACAGCCTGGTCACACTAACCACAGCCTGGTCACACTAACAACAGCCTGGTCACACTAACCACAGCCTGGTCACACTAACCACAGCCTGGTCACACTAACCATAGCCTGGTCACACTAACCACAGCCTGGTCACACTAACCACAGCCTGGTCACACTAACCACAGCCTGGTCACACTAACCACAGCCTGGACACACTAACCACAGCCTGGTCACACTAACCATAGCCTGGACACACTAACCACAGCCTGGTCACACTAACCACAGCCTGGTCACACTAACCATAGCCTGGTCACACTAACCACAGCCTGGTCACACTAACCACAGCCTGGTCACACTAACCATAGCCTGGTCACACTAACCACAGCCCGGCCGTTCAAGACTACCATTTCGCTCAGAGATGTTGATGCCGCTCAGAAATGATCAATGCGGTCAAAGACGTTCATACTTGCCTCTCACATACCAGTCATCTTAGGCGCCGCGATTCGCTGTGCAGAGTTGCGTCCCTTGTGCACGCCACACACCTATGATTATGGGTTCGAATCCCGGTTCCCCCCGATTATGTTTCTAGGTTTGTCAGCACCATACCCGTGCTCGTGGGTTTCACCGAAGTGGTAAACGTCTTTGACCTGCATTACTTCGGGCTTTCCTCCAACATTGATCTGACACGCCGTGATATAACAGGAATAATGTTAAAAGCAGCGTTAAACACAACTTACTCACACTCTCACATCCCATGGTGCACAAAAACTATTCAGATCATTCCGCACACAGACAACTACGCAATGCCGTTTACCACCAAGACGTTAGTGTCGCTTAATGACGTTCATGTCACTCAAACAGATTCACGTCGGAAAGAGACGCGTATGCCACTCCCGTCACAATAACACCACCCAGGGCTTGTGGGAGGCTAGGAAGGTACTGTTCGTCTTGGCTCACCTTGGGTAACTTGTTCATGTCAAGGTTGCTGGGGTCATAGGTCTCGCGCAGATTGCTGGTCCACGGGCCAACTGCCCGGATGTGCAAAGACAGATTTTCCTCGTGCGGAGCTGACGTCAGAGTAAAAGGGTGGTACTCACTCTTCCCCAGATTCAGACAGGCGATACGGACCCACTGCCCAGACTTGTAGTCAAAGTTAGCGGGACGTTTGAACTCCAGAAATATCACAGCTGAAACCGGAAGGCAATGCACGTTTATCCTAATGAGTGTCAATGGCAAATTGTTGCATAAAGGTACAATTTCGGATTATTTCAAAACAGCCAGATTCGTCTGACCACACCAGCCTGACGGCGGGATGTCAACAACATTCATCTGACCTCACCTGACGGCGGGATGTCAACAACATTCATCTGACCTCACCTGACGGCGGGATGTCAACAACATTCATCTGACCTCACCTGACGACGTGATACAACCAGACGGCTTTTTCACCAAACTTATAGCGCTAACATTGTCTTAAAGATGTAGTAGAGAAAATTATCGTAGCTGAGTCAATTCTTGAAGTTGTATAGGCGCTGTGTCGTCAGTTTGAGACACGAACTTAAAACAGGGTGGAACCTGTCGTCAGTGTTTACTCCAGATCCGACAGCGGACAACAGACGGCATGTTGAAGAACGAGTCGACATTTTTCGGTCTGTATCATTTCTGACTACAAACCGATCGGTGTCCTCTTGCAGGTTCTACTACATTAAGTCAGAACCAGTTGTGTCTGTGCCGTTTTTGTAGGGAGCCTTCAGTGCAGATCGAGAGATATCTTCAGGCTGTGATTGGACGATGTTGTGTTAATGTACACATCCATCCAGTTATTAAAACTGACCATGTTTTTTTTCTATATTGAGTACTGTCTTTTCAACATGCTGACTTATGCTGAATGTGACCAAAGATATTTTCAAGTAGGTGACATTTGGTGAGGAACTGGGGGTGGTTTGTTCAGCTTCCTGTACTCGGAAAAGTAGCTGGCTAACCTTGTCATTTGTTTTTTTTTGTTTTTATTGCTGCTCTAAGACAAAACTGTGCATACACGTGCAGGTAATAGCTGTTGAATGCTTAATTATTAATTTATTATTTTTACATAAAACGTTACTATAGAAGTCTATGAGAAACCATTCGGTTGTGTGTAATCTGCACACAGAAAACACGCCACAAACATAGCATTTATCTTGTATGATTGATGTCTAAATAACGAGTCGATAACAGATGATGCTTGCTGGAAGGGATAGCATAACAATCAAGGCTGCTGGCCGGCACACAAAACATTTATTCTGCACGACTACATCGGCGACTATCCTTGTCGTATGTGGCGACTAACGGGATGGGGTGGTCAGGTTCGCTGACTTGGTTGGTGCATGTCATCGTATACCAATTGCGTGGATCGCTGTTCATGATGTCAATCACTGTATCGTCTGGTCCAGACTCGATTATTTACAGACCGCCGACATATAGCTTGAATATTGCTGATCGCGGCGTTAAACAACAAACAAACAAACATGTGAAAAGTGCATCGCGGCTGATGACGAAAGAGACACGTGACTAGTAAAGGAGAGTCAGCGGTGTCCCAATTTATACACCGGGTCACAGTTAGTGTAACAGTCGAAGTTAATGCGGACATGGTATTGAAATGTTCTGAGAAAGTCAGTTATTTGTCATCCACAATTAATTCAGGAACTGTCGTTGTACGCCTTTCACACTCTCCTTCACAAATAAATATATACCAAATAAACGTAATAAACATTTCAGTCAATGGGTTATCCTGAATAATCAATGACTCACTGAGTCATTATTCCCCCCCCCCCCCCCCCCCCCCCCCCCGTCACAAAAGAGCTCACTGTCTCAAGTAAGATAACATTGCGAAAGGTTTAAGACAGCTTCAAGAAGAGCGCTCATATTATATACTGGCCAAAAAAAGAAACGCATAGCTGAAATCTGTTTTTCAAACTTGACTCTTATTAAAGATGAAGGCTTGAACTCAATACAAAAGGTCATTGCTAACTGTGAATATTGACCTTAAACTAGTTTATTCGACCCGAACACAACATTTGGTGACTTGTCGCCAAAATACAGCATCTTGAAACCAAACTGGGAGAAATTGCATGGAGAAAAAGCTGTAAGCTTGCTGCACGTGCAAATACGGCTACTTAACCTTTATACCGATGGGTATAAAAATTTGGCAGTCCTGCTGTGAATCACTCTCCGATGTTCTGTATACGTGACTCTCATGATGCCAAGACTGAATGAAGACTGTAGAAACAGAGCCATTGGACGTCTGGAAGCTGGAGAAAGTCAGACATCAGTAGCCAGGCACTTTAACGTGAGGCAGAGTACCATTTCTCGTCTGTGGCAGCGCTACAGACTCCACAACTCTGCAAGAGATCGACCGAGAAGTGGAAGACCCAGGGTCACAACTGCGGCGCAGGACCGCTTCATCCGGGTGTTGCATCTTCGCGACCGGACAATCAGTGCAGCATACACAGCTAACAATGTTCCTGGTCTTCGTAGAGTCTCAGCGCAAACCATCAGAAATCGTCTAAGACAGCATGGGGTACGGCCAATGAGACCATATACAGCGCCCGTTCTGCGGCAACATCATCGTCGTGCACGTCTGCAATGGAGCAGAAATGTTCGACCATGGACCCTAGTGCACTGGAGAAGGATATTGTTCAGTGATGAGTCGCGGTTCCTGCGGTATCGCCATGATGGTAGGATGCGTGTCTACAGACGGAGAAATGAACGCTACACTCGACACTGTATTCATGAAGTCGACCGATACGGCGGTGGAAGTGTCATGATGTGGGCAGGCATATCCGTGAATGGTAGGGCAGATCTGGTGCACGTGCAGGGAATTTTAACTGCTGTACGCTACCGTGATTAAATCCTTCAACGTCACCTTATTCCCGCCATTGACGTCAGAAGAGAGATTTTCCAGCAAGACCGCATACTGCACGTGTTACCATGGATTATCTTGCCCACAACAATGTTACTGTGCTGCCATGACCCTCCAAATCGCCTGATCTAAACCTCATTGAACATTTGTGGGATCTGCTAGACAGATGTGTACGACGCCGACAGCGTCAACCACAGACGCTTCAACAGCTGAACCATGCATTGCAGGATGAGTGGAGAAGGATTCCACAACGCCAGATTCGACGACTCATACAGTCCATGCCCAGGCGGTGCAGAGCTGTGATCGATGCTGATGGTGGTAACACCCGGTACTGACTTTGGCACAGTGCCATCACAGACACAGACGTCCCTTAGAACATTAAAAGACTGTTTGTAGTGTAAGAAACATGTGCCTCATCCTGTGTAAAATTTGGTTGTTGTATCTTCATTATCTATTGTGTAATCCTATTTCATTAAACATGTAGGGAAACACTGATTATTCTGTTATGCGTTTCTATTTTTGGCCAGTGTAGTAGTCATTTCTGTTGTAAGTCGTTACGATTTGTCTAAACTAAGATTGCTTCGTGAATGGGCCGCCTGATTCGTCCGATTCGTCTGACCTTACCTGGCTGCGGTATATGCAGATTTATTTTGCCTCAAAGTGAGATTGGCCAATCAGAGAGCAGAACCTTTAACCCCACATGAGCTCGTATACCGTCAGTAAAAATCCAAGATGACTGTTACTGACCTAATATGAGATACCGCCAGTAACAGCCATTTTGGATTTTCCAACACCCACCTCACATATTTCATATAGAAATTCTTGTACAGAAATTCGTTTTTCGACGCTGTTTTGTGTTTTAATTTAATCATAAATTGTGATGAACAAAGACATTATTTATCAAAGAAACCACGTTCGTGACGTTACGTTATTTATAAACATTATAGTGAAAAAAGCTTAAATATGAGAAAAATCCAAGTCGTAAAAATATAGGGCTTGGCTTACGCCTAGGCCAATATGTTTCTGCTAATCTAATTTGACTCAACTCAAGACACAATAACTAATAACATTCGTCGAACGTTATCTGGCTGCGGTATACGTCTGACCTTACTTAGTGGCGGTATATACATATATATTCGTCTGACCTTACTTAGTGGCGGTATATACAGATATATTCGTCTGACCTTACTTAGTGGCGGTATACACAGATATATTCGTCTGACCTTACTTAGTGGCGGTATATACAGATATATTCGTCTGACCTTACTTAGTGGCGGTATATACAGATATATTCGTCTGACCTTACTTAGTGGCGGTATATACAGATATATTCGTCTGACCTTACTTAGTGGCGGTATATACAGATATATTCGTCTGACCTTACTTAGTGGCGGTATATACAGATATATTTGTCTAAACTTACCTAGTGGCGGTATATACAGATATATTCGTCTGACCTTACTTAGTGGCGGTATATACAGATATATTTGTCTGACCTTACCTAGTGGCGGTATATACAGATATATTTGTCTGATGTTACCTGACGGAAGCAGCTCGGCTTTCTTGACAATAATCTCGACCTTGTGCCTGCTGTAGGTGAGAGTCCTGTCGACGAGGTACACCAGCAAGGGGCCGATCAGGTACCAGGGAAACAGCGGATCCTGCACCAGACGCCCGATGCCGTGCATGAATGTCAAGATGTAGACGAAGATGTAGAAGCTGTGAGTGAACCAGAAGGCGTTGAAGACGTTGCGTCGAGCGAACTGGATGGCGAACACGTACATGATGAACATCACCACGGTGACCAGGATCCCGGCGAGTCCTGGCAACATCAGAGTGAGTGAGTGAATGATGTGTGAAAGGGGGACAATAATGAGGTCATGGTTAAAGCAGTCCAAACCACCAGCATTATCCCACGGTAGTTTGTTGGCCTAAATGCACAGTTGTACGAGGGGGGATCCAGAAATGTTCCTGCAACGGTTTTATGTAGGGGAAAAAGTATACTTCCTCACACAAACTGCAGGTACTTACTTCATCACTACAACTCCTCACACAATTTTCTTATACTTTATTACTACAGTGCCTCACACAATCTGCAAGTACTTCATCACTACAGCTCCTCATATTCATCACGCCCCTCACACAATCTACAAGTACTTCAGCACGACAGCCCCTCACACAATCTACAAGTACTTCAGCACGACAGTCCCTCACACAATCTACAAGTACTTCAGCACGACAGCCCGTCACTAAATCTACAAGTACTTCAGCACGACAGTCCCTCACACAATCTGCAAGTACTTCATCATTGCAGTCCCTCAAACAATCTACAAGTACTTCATCATTGCAGTCCCTCACACAATCTACAAGTACTTCATCATTGCAGTCCCTCAAACAATCTACAAGTACTTCATCATTGCAGTCCCTCACACAATCTACAAGTACTTCATCATTGCAGTCCCTCAAACAATCTACAAGTACTTCATCATTGCAGTCCCTCACACAATCTACAAGTACTTCATCATTGCAGTCCCTCAAACAATCTACCAGTACTTCATCATTGCAGTCCCTCACACAATCTACAAGTACTTCATCATTGCAGTCCCTCAAACAATCTACAAGTACTTCATCATTGCAGTCCCTCACACAATCTACAAGTACTTCATCATTGCAGTCCCTCAAACAATCTACAAGTACTTCATCATTGCAGTCCCTCACACAATCTACAAGTACTTCATCATTGCAGTCCCTCAAACAATCTACCAGTACTTCATCATTGCAGTCCCTCAAACAATCTACAAGTACTTCATCATTGCAGTCCCTCACACAATCTACAAGTACTTCATCATTGCAGTCCCTCAAACAATCTACAAGTACTTCATCATTGCAGTCCCTCACACAATCTACAAGTACTTCATCATTGCAGCCCCTCAAACAATCTACAAGTACTTCATCATTGCAGTCCCTCACACAATCTACAAGTACTTCATCATTGCAGTCCCTCAAACAATCTACAAGTACTTCAGCACGACAGCCCCTCACACAATCTACCAGTACTTCAGCACGACAGTCCCTCACACAATCTACAAGTACTTCAGCATTATAGCCCCTCACACAATCTACAAGTACTTCAGCACGACAGCCCCTCACACAATCTACAAGTATTTCCATCACTACAGTTCCTCACACAATCTACAAGTACTTCAGCATTATAGCCCCTCACACAATCTACAAGTACTTCAGCATTATAGCCCCTCACACAATCTACAAGTACTTCAGCACGACAGCCCCTCACACAATCTACAAGTATTTCCATCACTACAGTTCCTCACACAATCTACAAGTACTTCAGCATTATAGCCCCTCACACAATCTACAAGTATTTCCATCACTACAGTTCCTCACACAATCTACAAGTACTTCAGCATTATAGCCCCTCACACAATCTACAGGTATTTCCATCACTACAGTTCCTCACACAATCTACACTTATGTTTGTCCAAACATCACAGCCCCTGCTTCGTTAATAGTGAAACCATTTGCAATAGTTTGATTGTAATGTAAACACCATGGAATACACTAGGTGGAGACCGGTCGGGGAACCCTGTGGGTTGGCCAGATAACCAATGGCACACATGGAGGCTTCAAAGGTCTCACCTGTGATAGTTTGGAATGCCCAAAAGTGGAATGTGTAGAGGACATGTGACCTGCAGTAGGACAAGAGGACAACCATTAGTATGGCATGACAGTTCCTGGACAAGCATATACATTAACGTCAATAGACCAATGGTATTTCTCATCAGTTCGAAAGGGTGAATGGGTGAGTTTGGTTTGAAAGCCGCTCTGAACAGTACTTCAGTTATATATCATGGATTGGAAGTTTACTACTTTGGTGAGACTCGCGAGCACTTGCATGGTGTAAAACTGGAAACCCGGGCGAGTCGGGATTCGAACCCCCAATTTCAGGGGACGCAACTCTGCACACCGATTACGACACCTTAGATAACGGGAACAACTACGCTCTTCCTTTGAGAATGTATTATATACACATTTGATTCCGAAATGTAATTTATTCCCTAAACGTACATGATATGTACCAGGTAAATAGTTCTAACTTCCTGATACACGCCGAGTAGGTAAGTAATACGCACGCTCTAAAAAACTCCCTGAACAGACAGCTGAGGTCCTGCGCCGGCTGAGTGCTCATGCAGTAGAGGTTGACGCAGTGGCCCACGATGTGAACGACTGCAATGTGTAAACACCATGTATAGTGACATTGTCAGGTCAGTGCTGTAGTGTGGGAATGGAGATGAAAGAGGAGAATTGTATTACTTCTTAAACATCCCATTTAAAACATTCCGTCGTCTATAGTTCACACATGTGCTACCTGTACAAGAACGGTTTTGTGATTTGTTGTATACAGGAAACATTCTCTCATACTCTATACAATACATGTAGTAGGTGACTGACTTGAGTTTAACACATCTTTGAACAGTATTTCAGTTGTGTCAGGGAATGTCAGCCAGATGTGGGCGGGACGCCAGAACAGTTGAACTTCCTAAACGTTTACCACTCTTGTGAAACCCGCGAGCATTGGTATGGTGCTGACAAACCTAGGAACATAATCGGGCTTACATGGGATTCGAACCCACGAGTATATGGTTCTGGCACGCATGAAGGTCGCAGCTGCATAACAAAGTGTGGCGCGAGAGATGACTGACATGCGTCTTGACACTGACTGACACCAGGGCTGTAGAGCGTAACAAGAGTAATGAGTGGTACGTTTTATTACTTTAAATATTCTATAGTTTCTTTACGTGTTTTTAATGTTCAAGTACAAAGACGTGGGTACATGACCCAGGTGTTCTGATAAGCATAGAATACACATTCTATGTCAGAGCGACATGAGACATCTTACTTGATGCTATCATCAGCACGGCAGCTATGTACTTGTGGAAGGAGACTGCCGAGTCAAAGGGTACAAAACGATGGACGAACGTCTCCCGGAGTCTCGTGATGATGTTGCGAGACATAGTGACGAGAAGGCTGGCGAGGTTAAACATGATGACGCTGGCAGATCCACGGATCATCGCCGTCGTCCACGCACCAGACAGACGTCTCAGTCCCGCATGTTCTCGACCCACGGCATAATCTGTCGAGGGAAAACTACAAGGTTTCATGCCTATGGAGGGACGCATAAAACCCTATGTACCCCGGGGATCCTGCTACAACGAATTTATCTTACCGACATGTTTAAATATGACATTGTAAAATAATTAAAACAAATTCAAAATTGATAGAAAACAGCAGTTCGATTGAGCTGAGGTTAACTTGTGGTATGTCACATGACTTTCATTGACTGGAAAAGAAGCATGCGGCTTTTTGCTTCGAAGCGGGGTATAAGGGATTTATTCTGCCTCTCAGAAATCCACGTGCAGCCTGACCTGCTCGTGGCGTGGTATAAGGGATTTATTCACCCGCTAAGACATTTATTTCCAACTATGGCGGGATTCATAGTATTTTATCAAGGTCACGTCGACCAATCAGATCTCATCCATCTGACATAAAAGGTAGGATAACTTACAATGTCAAATTAGAGACGGACACTGTACTTGAGCTGGGACGGCTGGGTCAACGGGGTGTGGCCTGGTGGTCACTTTGGGGGAGATTGGAGAGTTGGTTTAGGGGATTAGGGGATGAACTTTGTGAGTGAATGTGCCTTTTGTACTGACCAGTAGTGACTGACAGAAATCTATTTGACATCTAGAAGTGGAAGACAATTATATTTCTTTTGAGAAGATTCCATGAAAAGTCCTGTTTAGTCTGAGACCCAAAGACAAACCACAGTCATGTTTTTTATTTATGGAATTGTGTTATTTTTGAAGGAGGGATCAAACTAATATAAATCGTATCGATATCTTCGAATATTTAAATTGGTGCCCCGTTGTTTTATTTGGCTGTAGATGAATCCAGTGGTATTGTTCCTACCAAATTCTACAAGAATCACCAACCTTTGGGGCAAATAACTGATTACTTTCATTCTTCATCAGACATGGCAAATAAAATATTACATTTCATACCCAAAATCCACTGAAACGAGTCTTGACACGATGCTGAATGCATGAGCAATGTCGTCCTTATCAACACCATAGTTATTCATATTTATTTATCATTACTTAACATATTATGACAGATGTGTTTGTGCATGCCCACGTGGATATTTACATAGATTACACGCAATTATACAACCATTATAAACCTATATTCCTGGAAGTAGGATTTCTGAATAAGGCGCAGAGCCCGGGGCATGAATTGGGAGACATGGACTCCTTCCACCGAGACTGAGAGAGAGGAACAAGCCTCACTGTGTAACATGGAGAGCTGGTGTGGGTGTCTATCAGGTACGCATATAATTCGGCGTGCCTGGGTAACCGGTCACAATACTTTACCATGGTTATAAAACAAATAAAGTCTGATATGTTTTCCAGCTACATATACATATATAAATGCAAGGGATCAGAAGGCTACGTTTGCTTCTTATTGTAACAGGCGATGGGGTAGCCTTGTGGTTAAAGCGTTCGCTCGTCACGCCGAAGGCCCAGGTTCGATTCCCAACATTTGTACAATGTGTGAAGCCCATTTCTGGTGTCCCCCGCCGTGATATTGCTTGAATATTGCTAAAAGCGGCGTAAACCCATACTCACTCACTTACTCTTGTAACCCACACATTACACAAGACCTGCTTACAGTATGCCCGCTCGGTGAAGATCCCCACACACACCAGGGTGTAGAGACACAGCCAGAAAATGTGGCACTGGTAGTTCTCCACATAGCGGCTGAAGGCGTACCACCTCTGGGCCAGAGGGGTGCCTGGGTACTTCTGTTTCCTGACCGGTGCTCGCACCCTGGAGGCTTGACGGCTGAGTTGTCTCCCCCCTTCTTTGGCGCCCCTGCCGTGGTAGAAAGTTGAAACAACATGGTCATTATCATTTGAGGTGGTGAGAGTGATTGTGTTGAATACGACTGATACGGATTTCCCATGTTGTTTGATGTTAGCTGTTGTGTCCGTCGTGATCAGTACACGTTGATTGACATGCACGTTGTCCGGGTGAGACATCCACAGTTTGTGGGTAATGTTACGATACAGGTACAGTATAACACTAGAAGATATCGAAGACTTAGTACTTAAATGCCATGGGATATCTGGGACCGAAATAGATATTCGGGTCAGGGTTGAGTGGTTTTGTGGACATGAGTGATTGGATGAGGGGTTATTGGTTGGGATATTTGTGAAAGAGTCTTTTGAAAGGGAAATAATGGGGAAAAACTTGTCTCAGGTTTCTACAGTGTGGTAAATCACTACGCAGAAATATATCAATCATAAGTCCCAGTACCGACCGCCCTTCGAACCTCACCACAACCCCATTCACATAGCCATCTCCCCACCCACTTCGCCGACACCCTTCCCACCTCACCACCACCCCCTCCCCCCAACCTCACCACCCCCACCCCCACCCCCACCTACCTCGCCAACACCCCACCTACCTCGCCACCACCCTTATCACCTCACCACAACCCGACCAATCTCGCCACCACCTCACCACCACCCCATCCATCTCGCCACCACCCTCCCCACCATCCCACCCACCTCGCCACCACCATTCCCACCTCACCACCACCCCATCCATCCCGCCACCACCCTTCCCACCTCGCCACCACCCTCCCCACCTCACAACCATCCCACCCACCTCGCGACCACTTCACCACCACCCCTCCATCTCGCCACCACCTCACCACCACCCAATCCATCTCGCCACCAACTCACCACCACCCCTCCATCTCGCCACCACCTCACCACCACCCAATCCATCTCGCCACCACCTCACCACCACCCCTCCATCTCGCCACCACCTCACCACCACCCCACCGACCTCGCCACCAACCTTCCCACTTCACCACAACCCTTCCCACATCACCACCATCCCACCCACCTCGCAACCACCTCACCACCACCCCACCCATCTCGCCACCAACCTTCCCACCTCGCCACCACCCTACCCACCTCAACATCACCCCATCCATCTCGCCACCACCTCACCACCACCCCACCCACCTCGCCACCAACCTTCCCGCCTCACCACAACCCTTCCCACCTCACCACCACCCCACCCATCTCGCCACCACCCTTCCCACCTCACCACCACCCTCCGCCCCCATCGCCAACACACCCCCCCCCCAACAACACCCCACCCATCTCGCCACCACCCTTCCCACCTCACCACCCACCACCCACCTCGCCAACATCCCCCCCCCCTCACCAACACCCAACCTACCTTGCCACCACCCTTCCCGCCTCGCCACCACCATTCCCACCTCACCGCCACCCCACTCACCTCGCCACCAACCTTCCCACCTCACCACCCACCACCCACCTATCCAGCAGCCCACCCACCTTGCCAACACCCTCCCCCCCTCGCCAACACCCTCCGCCCCCCCCCCCCCCCTCACCAACACCCAACCTACCTTGCCACCAACATTCCCACCTCACCACCACCCCACCCATATCTTCACCACCCCACCCCCTCCGCTCCCCCCCCTCACCAACACCCTACCCATCTCGCCATCACCCTTCCCACCTTACCAACACCCCACCCATCTCGCCACCACCATTCCCACCTCACCACCACCCCCACATCCCCCATTGCACCCCATCCGCACCATCAACTGACCCGAACCCATTACATCCCACCCTCACCATCACCCGGCCCAAACCCATTACATCCCACCCTCACTATCACCCGACCGTAACCCATTACATCCCACCCTCACTATCACCCGACCGTAACCCATTACATCCCACCCTCACTATCACCCGACCCTAACCTATTACATCCCACCCTCACTATCACCCGGCCCAAACCCATTACATCCCACCCTCACTATCACCCGACCGTAACCCATTACATCCCACCCTCACTATCACCCGGCCCAAACCCATTACATCCCACCCTCACTATCACCCGACCGTAACCCATTACATCCCACCCTCACTATCACCCGACCCTAACCTTTTACATCCCACCCTCACTATCACCCGACCGTAACCCATTACATCCCACCCTCACTATCACCCGGCCCAAACCCATTACATCCCACCCTCACTATCACCCGGCCCAAACCCATTACATCCCACCCTCACTATCACTCCTTGGATTTTATTGAAAAGGATAAATTGTCCCAAACAGTTTTGAAAAAAAGGTTATGCTTCAACTTTGGAGAAAAAAAAGAAATTGCTAAACATATCTAATGTCGATAGAAAAGTTCCCAAGTTCCTACCTGTAGCTTTGGATGAACGTTTTGCGTCTTCCCTTCAATGGCGACTCCTCCTTGGTGTGTTTGGAGAGAGCTCCACCTGGCAACGGACAACAACCGATGTCAAGTTACAGCCAGGGTCAGCAGGAAGGTCATCGCTGGGGGGTAGTTTGGATACACTCGTTAGTTGTGAACATTGACCACTGACACAGCGTGAAGCATGGTTGTCTCAGATGGATGGAGCAACACACAGAGGGAACAAGTTATGTTCCTCAGAATAGGATAGGGTCGAGCCCCAAGAAATAGATGTTGAAGATAACTTGTACTTATACTTTGTACTTACCGTCCGCAATGGAGGCTGCGTGTAGGGTCGATTCATACTCTTTAGATACAAACACTTTCTTGAAGTCCTCGAAACTCATGGTGTCTTTGTCGGCGATGCCGGCGTCTCTGAACATGACGTCCATGAGGTTGGTTACGTGGGCGTTATCCAAGCTGGCGTCAGACAGGTCCAGCAGGGAACTGGAGAGAAGATGAAATGGGGTTTAACGCAGCGTTCAACTTGATTGCACGTACATACCATACCGCAGTTTTAGGATGAATACCACAGAAACACAGTACTCCAAGACGGCCGGCCTGTCCTTGTTTTATCCCTTTACATAATGCAGCTGTGCACATAAGTCAAGACTCGATTGTTTCCTGGCCACCGTCGTATGGCAGGAGGATACCGGTAGAGCAGGTCATGCTGGCCCTCTCTGTCAACATCTGGTGGCATCATTTATTTTCATCGAGACTGATTATTCTCTGGGGTTGGCGTTTTCTATTTACATTAAACATTGATAGTGACTGAACTGATTCAGAAATAGCAGGCTGTGTGTGAATCACTCCACATCGGAAAGTAGTACACCACTGTATAACTCACCGTATCATTTTAAAGAAATCTTCCCGAGTGAGATAGCCACGCCGGCGAATGTCATAGATATTAAACATCATCTGGGCCTTTTGTTCAGCAGTGCCTGCAACATAACACGTCTGTAACATGTATCCAGGGCACCAATAGAACAGCAGACTGTTCATAATATGGCATATTTTGTTTCTATAAATGACAGAATGCTTCATATAACATTCACATTTAAGGTAATGCATAGACTGCAACTTTACACTGCAACTTGAACAATATATACTCACACGCAAAAAAAACCGCAAGTAGTTTTAAGCAAATAGGTAACAAACACGGAACCATAAATTGATACAAATTTTAGCATGTGGTGAAGCCTGATAGTGTTATCAATATTGTTGGTTGCATTTTGGAAGTCCCGAGTAAAAACGCAACATAAAAACCGAATCGCAAAAACGCACCATTTCAATGAATATGTGGATATCATGCACCCATTTCTCGCGAAATCGAAAATGCACGAACTGTCACGAGCTGTCACGAACTGTAGTGGGTATAAAACTGTGGCCGATTCTTGGACCTACCACTCCTTGGTCAACAATGCCACGCCTAACCCAAATTCAGAGAAACCAGGCTATCGGACGTTTGGAAGCTGGAGAGTCTGTCCAAGATGTTGCCCGTCATTTCAACGTTAACATAACTACAATTCACCGTCTCCTTCATCGATACAATGCTACACAGACCACAGATGACCTTCCTCGGAGCGGTCGTCCTAGGGTCACCACACCTCGACAAGATCGGCAGATTACCCGTCAACACCAGCGACATCCGTTCCTAACTGCAAGTGAAAGTGCTCGACAGACCATAAGAACACATAATCGACACATTAGCCGGGACACTGTGATCCTACGTCTCCGTTCCAAAAACCGCAGATGTCGCCGACCAGCACGTCGTCCTGTTCTCCAACCATGGCATCGACAAGCACGACTTCAGTGGGCATAGGGTCATCGCAATTGGCGTCATCGTGAGTGGAGGCGTGTCATCTTCTCTGATGAAAGTCGCTTTTGTGTCTCCCATGCAGACGGAAGAGTCAGAATTTGGCGGCGTCGAGGTGATCGTTTCGCTGACAGAAACGTTGTGGAAAGGGATCCATGGGTCGGACCTAGCGTCATGATATGGGCAGGGATCGGACTTAATGCGAGCCTTGGACCAATGTGCTTTCTGAATGTTGGTCAAGGTCGGGGACACGGCGTCACTGCTCAGTGGTATATCGACCAAGTGATCAGACCCCACGTTGTTCCATTTTTTGTACAACATCAACAACACATTTTCCAGCAGGACAACGCTCGTTCCCATGTTGCCAGAGCCACAATGGCCTTTCTGCAACAACACAACATCCGTGTTCTACCGTGGCCAGCCCTCAGCCCTGATCTGAACCCCATCGAACACTTGTGGGATGAGGTTCAAAGGCGTCTGCACAATGTGCGCCCAGTCCCTACAGCTGCCGATGAACTACGCACAGCTGCTCTGGGTGTGTGCAGGAGGATCCCTAGGGCCTTCACAAATCGTCTGATCCACGTACAGGAGATGTGTGGCAGTGATCAATGCTAATGGTGGCCACACCAGGTATTGAATGACATTTTGGGTATTGACCCGAAACTGTGTAAGCCCTTAACATTTGAAAAAAAACAATTATGTCATCTGCCGTTTATTCCATTAAACTGTCTTCAGTAATTTTTTTGTCAATCGTGCCCTATTAGTATTTCTTGTCTTTACTGTTGAAAATTAATAACATGTATACTGCATACTCGACTTGCGTTTCTTTTGCGTGTTAGTATATATAACACAAGAGGGCAGTTTAAGTACAAGTTCTCGAGTAGCATATGCAGTCTATTACGAAAATGAAATAGATTCATCTATTTGATCACCTCTGTCGAACACGACATATCTTATAGAACACCTCTGTCAAACACCAAACATATCTCAGAGATCGATTCTGGCGAACACAGAACATTTCTAATAGATCACCTCCAGCGAACACGAAAACAATCTCGCTTCTTACCTCTGGCGAACACAGAACTTTTCTAACGGTTCGCCTCCAGCGAACACGGAATATTTCTCGTTTCTTACCTCTGGCGAACACGGAACATTTCTAATTGATCACCTCCAGCGAACACAGAACATTTCTAATTGATCACCTCTAGCGAACACGGAATATATCTCATAGATAACCTCAAGTGAACACGGAACATATCTCATAGATCGCCTCCAGTGAACACGTAACATATCTCATGGATCACCTCCAGTGAACACGGAACATATCTCATAGATCACCTCCAGTGAACACGGAACATATCTCATGGATCACCTCCAGTGAACACGGAACATATCTCATAGATCACCTATAGTGAACACGGTATATATCTCATAGATCACCTCCAGTGAACACGGAACATATCTCATAGATCACCTCCAGTGAACACGGTATATATCTCATAGATCACCTCCAGCGAACACGGAATATATCTCATAGATCGCCTCCAGTGAACACGGTATATATCTCATAGATCACCTCCAGCGAACACGGTATATATCTCATAGATCACCTCAAGTGAACACGGTATATATCTCATGGATCACCTCCAGTGAACACGGTATATATCTCATAGATCACCTCCAGCGAACACGGTATATATCTCATAGATCACCTCAAGTGAACACGGTATATATCTCATGGATCACCTCCAGTGAACACGGTATATATCTGGTTTCTTACCTCTGGCGAACACGGCAAACAGGTCCAGGAATTCTTTGAAGGATAGGAAGCCGTCATTGTTGGTATCGGCGAGAAGGAAGACGTTCCTGATGAAGATGGACGAGGCTTGCATACCCAGAGATTCAGCAAACTCTGTCCTTGTCAGTTTCAGTTTTATAACATCGTTAGCAGCATCGTCATCGAAATCCCACACCTCCGCAGTCGGGTCTTTCTTCAGAGCCTGAACATTTCAACACCTGCATTCAACACGCGAATACTTTGTATATCTTAAACATGAAAACACCTACATTCAACACATGAACCCTATTTGTTCAACATATCAATTACACCTAGACACGTTGTATATGTTCAACATATCAACACTTGGCCTGTATTCAACACATAGACACATTGTATATATCCACCATAGAATCACTTGGCCTATATTCAACACACGAACACATTGTATATGTCCAACAAAGAAACACTTGGCCTACATTCAACAGACGAACACCTTGTATATAGCTACTGAACCGCGTCAACCGTCTCTGTAGCTCCATACACTACCTGCAGACACACGACCCTGAAGAACTTGTCCAGCAGCTTCTGTCTGTCATCCTTGTTGTTGGAGTGACTGAGGATGATGAGTTCCGGCTGCTCCTGTCTCTCCGTCTGCACGCCCAGCGACTGCAGGAACTCCTCCGTGTACTGCAGCATCTCCTGCCGCTCGCCCAGGTCCCCGAAGCGGAGAATCTAGAGGGATACACGACTAAGGGTGTGAGAATGATTGGATGGATGGATGGATGACGAGGGATGCCAAAATGATTGGAGTGATGTACGATCAGGGAGATGTAAGAAAGATTGGTGGGATGCACGATAAGGGAGATGTAAGAATGATTGGAGGAACACGCGACAAGGAAGATGTAAGAATGATTGGAGGGATCCACGATCAGGGAGATATAAGAATGATTGGAGGAACAAACGATCGGGGTGCTGTAAGGATGATTCGGGTATACACGATCAGGGAGATGTAAGAATGATTGGAGGGATCCATGATCAGGGAGATATAAGAATGATTGGAGGAACAAACGATCGGGGTGCTGTAAGGATGATTCGGGTATACACGATCAGGGAGATGTAAGAATGATTGGAGGGATCCACGATCAGGGAGATATAAGAATGATTGGAGGAACAAACGATCGGGGTGCTGTAAGGATGATTCGGGTATACACGATCAGGGAGATGTAAGAATGATTGGAGGGGTGCACGATCAGGGAGATGTAAGAATGATTGGTGGGATGCACGATCAGGGAGATGTAAGAATGATTGGAGGAACAAACGATCGGGGTGCTGTAAGGATGATTCGGGTATACACGATCAGGGAGATGTAAGATTGATTGGAGGGATCCACGATCAGGGAGATATAAGAATGATTGGAGGAACAAACGATCGGGGTGCTGTAAGGATGATTCGGGTATACACGATCAGGGAGATGTAAGAATGATTGGAGGGGTGCACGATCAGGGAGATGTAAGAATGTTTGGTGGGATGCACGATCAGGGAGATGTAAGAATGATTGGAGGAACACGCGACAAGGAAGATGTAAGAATGATTGGAGGGATCCACGATCAGGGAGATATAGGAATGATTGGAGGAACAACCGATCGGGCTGCTGTAGGGATCATTCGGGTATACACGATCAGGGAGATGTAAGAATGATTGGAGGGATCCACGATCAGGGAGATATAAGAATGATTGGAGGAACAAACGATCGGGGTGCTGTAAGGATGATTCGGGTATACACGATCAGGGAGATGTAAGAACGATTGGAGGGATCCACGATCAGGGAGATATCAGAATGATTGGAGGAACAAACGATCGGGGTGCTGTAAGGATGATTCGGGTATACACGATCAGGGAGATGTAAGAATGATTGGAGGGGTGCACGATCAGGGAGATGTAAGAATGATTGGAGGGATGAACGATCAGGGAGATGTAAGAATGATTGGTGGGATGCACGATCAGGGAGATGTAAGAATGATTGGAGGAACACGCGACAAGGAAGATGTAAGAATGATTGGAGGGATCCACGATCAGGGAGATATAGGAATGATTGGAGGAACAAACGATCGGGGTGCTGTAAGGATGATTCGGGTATACACGATCAGGGAGATGTAAGAATGATTGGAGGGATCCACGATCAGGGAGATATAAGAATGATTGGAGGAACAAACGATCGGGGTGCTGTAAGGATGATTCGGGTATACACGATCAGGGAGATGTAAGAACGATTGGAGGGATCCACGATCAGGGAGATATCAGAATGATTGGAGGAACAAACGATCGGGGTGCTGTAAGGATGATTCGGGTATACACGATCAGGGAGATGTAAGAATGATTGGAGGGGTGCACGATCAGGGAGATGTAAGAATGATTGGAGGGATGAACGATCAGGGAGATGTAAGAATGATTGGAGGAACTCACGATCAGGAAGATGTAAGAATGATTGGAGGAACTCACGATCAGGGAGATATTAGTATGATTGGAGGAACACACGATCGGGGTGCTGTAAGGATGATTGGGGTATACACCATCAGGGAGATATAAGAATGATTGGAGAGATAGACGACCAGGGAGATGCCAGAATGATTGGGGGCTACACATCAAGGGAGATGTAAGAAAAATTGGAGTGATGCAAGATCAGGGAGGCATCAGAATGATTGGGGGGTACACACCTAGGGAGATGTAAGAATGATTGGACGGATGCACGATCAGGGAGATGTAAGAATGATTGGACGGATGATTGGATGAATACACGATCAGGAAGATGTAAGAATGATTGGAGGGATACACTATCAGGGAGATATCAGAATGATTGGGGGGATACACATCTAGGGAGATGTAAGAATGATTGGAGGGATACACGATCAGGGAAATGTTAGATTGATTGGAGGGATACACTATCAGGGAGATATCAGAATGATAGGGGGGAAATACGATTAGGGAGATATCAGAATGATTTGGGGGATACACGATCAGGGACATGTAAGAATGATTGGAGGGATACACGATCAGGGAGATATCAGAATGATTGGAGGGATACAAGATTAGGGAGATATCAGAATGATTGGAGAGATACACGATCAGGGAGATGTAAGAATGATTGGGGGGATACACGATCAGGGAGATATCAGAATCATTGGGGGGGATACACGATCAGGGAGATTTCCGAATGATTGGAGGGATACACGATCAGGGAGATATCAGAATGATTGGGGGGATACACGATCAGGGAGATATCAGAATGATTGGAGGGATACACGATCAGGGAGATATCAGAATGATTGGAGGGATACACGATCAGGGAGATGTTAGAATGATTGGACGGATGTACGATCAGGGAGATATAAGAATGATTGGACGGATGCACGATCAGGGAGATGTTAGAATGATTGGGGGGATACACACCTAGGGAGATGTAAGAATGATTGGTGGGATACACGATCAGGGAGATATAAGACTGATTGGAGAGATACACGATCAGGGAGATATCAGAATGATTGGAGGGATACACGATCAGGGAGATATCAGAATGATTGGAGGGATACACAATCAGGGAGATATCAGATTGATTGGGGGGATACACGATCAGGGAGATGTTAGAATGATTGGACGGATGCACGATCAGGGAGATGTTAGAATGGCTGGGGGATACACACCTAAGGAGATTTAAGAATGATTGGTGGGATGCACGATCAGGGAGATGTTAGAATGATTGGAGGGATACACGATCAGGGAGATGTTAGAATGATTGGGGGGATACACGATCAGAGAGATGTTAGAATGATTGGACGGATGCACGATCAGGGAGATGTTAGAATGGCTGGGGGATACACACCTAGGGTGATGTAAGAATGATTGGTGGGATGCACGATCAGGGATATTCAGAACGATTGGAGGGATACACAATCAGGGACATTCAGAATGATTGGAGGGATACACGATCAGGGAGATATCAGAATGATTGGAGGGATACACGATCAGGGAGATATCAGAATGATTGGAGGGATACACGATCAGGGAGATATCAGAATGATTGGAGGGATACACCATCAGTGAGATATCAGAATCATTAGAGGGATACACGATCAGGGAGATGTAAGAATGATTGGCGGGATACACACCTAGGGAGATGTTAGAATGATTGGTGGGAGGCACGATCAGGGAGATGTAAGAATGATTGGAGGGATACACGATCAGGGAGATGTAAGAATGATTGGAGGGATACACGATCAGGGATATTCAGAATGATTGGAGGGACACACGATCAGAGACATTCAGAATGATTCAAGGGATACACGATCAGGGAGATATCAGAATGATTGGAGGGATACGCGATCAGTGAGATATCAGAATCATTAGAGGGATACACGATCAGGGAGATGTAAGAATGATTGGGGGGATACACACCTAGGGAGATGTAAGAATGATTGGTGGGATGCACGATCAGGGAGATGTAAGACTGATTGGAGAGATACACGATCAGGGAGATATCAGATTGATTGGGGGGATACACGATCAGGGAGATGTAAGAATAATTTGAGGGATACACGATCAGGGAGATATCAGAATGGTTGGACGGGTGCACGATCGGGGAGATGTTAGAATGATTGGACGGATGCACTATCAAGGAGATGTTAGAATGGCTGGGGGATACACACCTAGGGAGATGTAAGAATGATTGGTGTGATGCACGATCAGGGAGACGTAAGAATGATTGGAGGGATACACGATCAGGGATATTCAGAATGATTGGAGGGAAAAACGATCAGGGACATTCAGAATGATTGGAGGGATACACGATGAGGGAGATATCAGAATGATTGGAGGGATACACGATCAGGGAGATATCAGAATGATTGGAGGGATACACGATCAGGGAGATATCAGAATGATTGGAGGGATACACCATCAGTGAGATATCAGAATCATTAGAGGGATACACGATCAGGGAGATGTAAGAATGATTGGCGGGATACACACCTAGGGAGATATTAGAATGATTGGTGGGAGGCACGATCAGGGAGATGTAAGAATGATTGGAGGGATACACGATCAGGGAGATGTAAGAATGATTGGAGGGATACACGATCAGGGATATTCAGAATGATTGGAGGGACACACGATCAGAGACATTCAGAAAGATTCGAGGGATACACGATCAGGGAGATATCAGAATGATTGGAGGGATACGCGATCAGTGAGATATCAGAATCATTAGAGGGATACACGATCAGGGAGATATCAGAATGATTGGGGGGGATACACACCTAGGGAGATGTTAGAATGATTGGTGGGAGGCACGATCAGGGAGATGTAAGACTGATTGGAGAGATACACGATCAGGGAGATATCAGAATGATTGGAGGGATACACAATCAGGGAGATATCTGATTGATTGGGGGAATACACGATCAGGGAGATGTAAGAATAATTTGAGGGATACACGATCAGGGAGATATCAGAATGGTTGGACGGGTGCACGATCGGGGAGATGTTAGAATGATTGGACGGATGCACTATCAAGGAGATGTTAGAATGGCTGGGGGATACACACCTAGGGTGATGTAAGAATGATTGGTGGGATGCACGATCAGGGATATTCAGAACGATTGGAGTGATACACAATCAGGGACATTCAGAATGATTGGAGGGATACACGATCAGGGAGATATCAGAATGATTGGAGGGATACACGATCAGGGAGATATCAGAATGATTGGAGGGATACACGATCAGGGAGATATCAGAATGATTCGAGGGATACACCATCAGTGAGATATCAGAATCATTAGAGGGATACACGATCAGGGAGATGTAAGAATGATTGGCGGGATACACACCTAGGGAGATATTAGAATGATTGGTGGGAGGCACGATCAGGGAGATGTAAGAATGATTGGAGGGATACACGATCAGGGAGATGTAAGAATGATTGGAGGGATACACGATCAGGGATATTCAGAATGATTGGAGGGACACACGATCAGAGACATTCAGAAAGATTCGAGGGATACACGATCAGGGAGATATCAGAATGATTGGAGGGATACGCGATCAGTGAGATATCAGAATCATTAGAGGGATACACGATCAGGGAGATATCAGAATGATTGGGGGGATACACACCTAGGGAGATGTTAGAATGATTGGTGGGAGGCACGATCAGGGAGATGTAAGACTGATTGGAGAGATACACGATCAGGGAGATATCAGAATGATTGGAGGGATACACAATCAGGGAGATATCTGATTGATTGGGGGAATACACGATCAGGGAGATGTAAGAATAATTTGAGGGATACACGATCAGGGAGATATCAGAATGGTTGGACGGGTGCACGATCGGGGAGATGTTAGAATGATTGGACGGATGCACTATCAAGGAGATGTTAGAATGGCTGGGGGATACACACCTAGGGTGATGTAAGAATGATTGGTGGGATGCACGATCAGGGATATTCAGAACGATTGGAGGGATACACAATCAGGGACATTCAGAATGATTGGAGGGATACACGATCAGGGAGATATCAGAATGATTGGAGGGATACACGATCAGGGAGATATCAGAATGATTGGAGGGATACACGATCAGGGAGATATCAGAATGATTGGAGGGATACACCATCAGTGAGATATCAGAATCATTAGAGGGATACACGATCAGGGAGATGTAAGAATGATTGGCGGGATACACACCTAGGGAGATATTAGAATGATTGGTGGGAGGCACGATCAGGGAGATGTAAGAATGATTGGAGGGATACACGATCAGGGAGATGTAAGAATGATTGGAGGGATACACGATCAGGGATATTCAGAATGATTGGAGGGACACACGATCAGAGACATTCAGAAAGATTCGAGGGATACACGATCAGGGAGATATCAGAATGATTGGAGGGATACGCGATCAGTGAGATATCAGAATCATTAGAGGGATACACGATCAGGGAGATATCAGAATGATTGGGGGGATACACACCTAGGGAGATGTTAGAATGATTGGTGGGAGGCACGATCAGGGAGATGTAAGACTGATTGGAGAGATACACGATCAGGGAGATATCAGAATGATTGGAGGGATACACAATCAGGGAGATATCTGATTGATTGGGGGAATACACGATCAGGGAGATGTAAGAATAATTTGAGGGATACACGATCAGGGAGATATCAGAATGGTTGGACGGGTGCACGATCGGGGAGATGTTAGAATGATTGGACGGATGCACTATCAAGGAGATGTTAGAATGGCTGGGGGATACACACCTAGGGAGATGTAAGAATGATTGGTGTGATGCACGATCAGGGAGACGTAAGAATGATTGGAGGGATACACGATCAGGGATATTCAGAATGATTTGAGGGAAAAACGATCAGGGACATTCAGAATGATTGGAGGGATACACGATGAGGGAGATATCAGAATGATTGGAGGGATACACGATCAGGGAGATATCAGAATGATTGGAGGGATACACGATCAGGGAGATATCAGAATCATTAGAGTGATACACGATCAGGGAGACGTTAGAATGATTGGAGGGATGTACGATCAGGGAGATGTAAGGATGATTGGAAGGATACACGATCAGGGTGATGTTAGAATGATTGGAGGGATGTACGATCAGGGAGATGTGAGATTGATTTGAGGGACACGCGATCAGGGAGATGTTAGAATGATTGGTGGAATGCATGATTAGGGAAATGTGAGAATGATTGGAGGGACACACGATCGGGGACATGTAAGAATGATTTTAGGGACACACGATCAGCAATGTGAGATTGATTTGAGGGACACGCGATCAGGGAGATGTTAGAATGATTGGTGGAATGCATGATTAGGGAAATGTGCGAATGATTGGAAGGATACACGATCAGGGTGATGTTAGAATGATTGGAGGAATGTACGATCAGGGAGATGTGAGATTGATTTGAGGGACACGCGATCAGGGAGGTGTTAGAATAATTGGTGGAATGCATGATTAGGGAAATGTGAGAATGATTGGAGGGACACACGATCGGGGACATGTAAGAATGATTTTAGGGACACACGATCAGGGAGATTTAAGACTGATTGGACGGATACATGATCAGGGAGTTATAAGACTGATTGAGATTAATAATGAAAGTAAACGCGTCCATCACACTGACCCCTTCTGTTACACTTGGTGTCAACAAAGTTACTAGCACCGGAGAACTAGTGTGTCTCGGACATAGAAGATCTGACAAAGGACGGAATTACGAGGGTGTCATCTATGCTAGATTATTGATGTTATACAGCACAAGTGTGACGTAAATTTGATGTATTATACAAAGCATGCTAGACTGGGGCAGTTTTCATTTGTTATAAAGAAATGCAATTAATGTCTGATATTTAAATAAACATTCAAAACAACAACATGTAATAAAACATATAATGTGAACCATCGCTACACTTTCAGACCACACTAGTGACAAGGATTAACATGAAACAGTCATCAGGTGTCGTATACATATATAGTGTTCTAGTCATCAGGTCTCGTACACATATATAGTGGTCTAGTCATCAGGTCTCGTACACATATATACTGGTCTAGCCATCAGGTCTCGTATACATATATAGTGGTCGAATCATCAGGTCTCGTACACATATATAGTGGTCTAGTCATCATGGCTCGTAACATATATAGTGGTCTGGTCATCATGGCTCGTATACATATATAGTGGCCTTGTAATCCTAGCTCGTATACATACTAGTATATATATAGTGGCCTTGTCATCCTGGGTCGTATACATAATAATATATATTTAGTGGCCTTGTCATCCTGGCTCGTATACATATATAGTGGCCTTGTCATCCTGGGTCGTATACATACTAGTATATATATAGTGGCCTTGTAATCCTAGCTCGTATACATATATAGTGGCCTTGTCATCCTGGGTCGTATACATATATAGTGGCCTTGTCATCCTGGGTCGTATACATACTAGTATATATTTAGTGGCCTTGTCATCCTGGCTCGTATACATATATAGTGGCCTTGTCATCCTAGCTCGTATATATATATAGTGGCCTTGTCATCCTAGCTCGTATATATATATAGTGGCCTTGTAATCCTAGCTCGTATACATATATAGTGGCCTTGTCATCCTAGCTCGTATACATATATAGTGGCCTTGCCATCCTGGGTCGTATACATACAAGTATATATATAGTGGCCTTGTAATCCTAGCTCGTATACATATATAGTGGCCTTGCCATCCTGGGTCGTATACATACTAGTATATATATAGTGGCCTTGTAATCCTAGCTCGTATACATATATAGTGGCCTTGCCATCCTGGGTCGTATACATACTAGTATATATATAGTGGCCTTGTAATCCTAGCTCGTATACATATATAGTGGCCTTGTCATCCTGGGTCGTATACATACTAGTATATATATAGTGGCCTTGTAATCCTAGCTCGTATACATATATAGTGGCCTTGTCATCCTGGCTCGTATACATATATAGTGGCCTTGTCATCCTGGGTCGTATACATATATAGTGGCCTTGTAATCCTAGCTCGTATACATATATAGTGGCCTTGCCATCCTGGGTCGTATACATACTAGTATATATATAGTGGCATTGTAATCCTAGCTTGTATACATATATAGTGGCCTTGTCATCCTGGGTCGTATACATACTAGTATATATATAGTGGCCTTGTAATCCTAGCTCGTATACATATATAGTGGCCTTGCCATCCTGGGTCGTATACATACTAGTATATATATAGTGGCCTTGTAATCCTAGCTCGTATACATATATAGTGGCCTTGCCATCCTGGGTCGTATACATACTAGTATATATATAGTGGCCTTGTAATCCTAGCTCGTATACATATATAGTGGCCTTGTCATCCTGGGTCGTATACATACTAGTATATATATAGTGGCCTTGTAATCCTAGCTTGTATACATATATAGTGGCCTTGTCATCCTGGGTCGTATACATACTAGTATATATATAGTGGCCTTGTAATCCTAGCTCGTATACATATATAGTGGCCTTGTCATCCTGGGTCGTATACATATATAGTGGCCTTGTCATCCTGGGTCGTATACATATATAGTGGCCTTGTCATCCTGGGTCGTATACATACTAGTATATATATAGTGGCCTTGTAATCCTAGCTCGTATACATATATAGTGGCCTTGTCATCCTGGGTCGTATACATATATAGTGGCCTTGTCATCCTGGGTCGTATACATACTAGTATATATATAGTGGTCTTGCCTTCATGTACATAGTGACGAGAAGGTTCACAATCTGCATATACTCACTAGGTCCACCTCCCCAGGGACACGGAGAGAGAGCAGATCCAGGCGCTTGTCGTAAGATAATCTAAGCGTCGCCTTTTCTGTGTTGCGCAGGTCAATGAATCGAAGATCTTTGCCGCGCATGTCCGTTACTTTTATCTTCTTCCGTTGATTGTTGAACTCCACGGTGACATTTCTTTTTCCGGATTCTGGCCCCAACCACTCACATGCTGCAGGCGTACAAATGCGACATTGAAGCAGGGCATCATTATGCTGGTGTATAACTAAGTTCCCCACTGACTCACTGACTAACTCACTGACTCACTGGTGACTCATGACTCACTCACTCACTCACTGACTAGCTCACTCACTCACTGGTGACTCACGACTCACTCACTGACTCACTCACTGACTCAATGATGGAGTGAATGAATGAATGAATGAATGAATGTCACCTGCAAACTTGGTCTTGTCGGTCTTCCTCGGTCTTGACATGTTCCTCCGGGCCTCCCTCCTCTTCCGCAACCACACCAGCATCAGCAGCATGCCGATAGACCCTACAAGCAACACGTACAGATACCCAGACACTCTTATTGAATCCTTTTCATCAAAATCTGCATCACATGAACACAGAGAGAGGTGGATACCTGGTATAGTGACCCAGGGCTGGGAGTGAGGGAAATAATATTACTACCTGGAATGGTTAGACCTGTTGCTAGGATTGAGAGCGCGAAGGACGCCTCGCTGCCACTGAAGAAGTCGTAAGTCTGGAGCTTGCTACAGACGCCGAACATCGTGCTGTTGTTGCCGTCAACGTTTGGAGGGGGGCGACAGTTACAAGTGGCATTGCCTGAAACGCACGAGGGGGTATGTATACAAATAGCATTGCAAAATCTTACAGTTACCTCAATATTCTGTTTCATGACGAAACATTGGAATATACAATGGAGATATACTTAGGCGATGTGGCATACTTGTATCTCCTGTGCATCGATGTGATGGACTGATGTATCTACCACTCATAGGACCCGTGCAGATTCGGGTAGAGAATAGGTCTTCAGCAACCTCTCCATGGCGTAAAAGGCGACTATGTTTGTCGTAAGAGGCGACTAAGGGGACCTGGTGATCAGGCTCGCTGACGTGGTTGACGCATGTCATCGTATCCCAATTGCCCAGATCGATGCACATGGTGTCAATCACTGGATTGTCTGGTTCAGACTCTGTGAAGTACAGACCGCCATCCTATAGCTGGTATATCGCTATGAGTGCTGGTATATCGCTATGAGTGCTGGTATATCGCTATGAGTGCTGGTATATCGCTATGAGTGCTGGTATATCGCTATGAGTGCTGGTATATCGCTATGAGTGTTGGTATATCGCTATGAGTGCTGGTATATCGCTTTGAGTGCTGGTATATCGCTATGAGTGCTGGTATATCGCTATGAGTGCGGTGTTAAACAACAAACAGACATAGGGTAATATCCTCTCTCATTCATCTGCTGTGTATCAATGACCTGTGCATCAATGTGACTAACTGATGTCACTCACCTCGACAGCTGAATAAGTCACCAGGCAAATTATTTGGTTGGATGTTAGTAACGTTCAGTAAGATTTGCCGGAACGTCACACTGTTAATCTGCCGTATTTCATCTTGCGTAAACAGTCTGCAACAAACGTCACTCTTTATATCTGACAGTATATGTATAGACACACTATATGCACACAATATACAACAAACACACAATATACACACAATATACGCACAACATACGCACAATATACAAACAACATACACACAATATACACACAACATACACACAATATACACACAATATACAAACAACATACACACAATATACACACAACATACACACAATATACACACAATATACAAACAACAAACACACAATATACACACAACATACATACAACATACACACAACATACCTACAACAAACACACAATATACACACAACATACATACAACATACACACAACATACATACAACATACACACAATATACATACAACATACACACAACATACATACAACATACACACAACATACATACAACATACACATAACATACATACAACATACACACAATATACACACAACATACACACAACATACACACAATATACATACAACATACACACAATATACATACAACATACACACATTATACACACAACAAACACACAACATACACACAATAAACAACAAACACACAATATACGCACAACATACACACAACATACACACAACATACACACAACATACACACAATATACATACAACATACACACAATATACACACAACATACACAAAACATACACACAACATACACACAATATACACACAAGATACACACAATATACACACAATATACACCAAACACACAATATACACACAACATACACACAACATATAAACAACATACATACAACATACACACACCATACACACAACATACACACAATATACATACAACATACACACAATATACACACAACATACACAAAACATACACACAATATACATACAACATACACACAATATACAACAAACACACAATATACACACCACATACACACAATATACACACAACATACACACAACATACACACAACATACACACAATATACATACAACATACACACAATATACACACAACATACACACAATATACATACAACATACACACAATATACACACAACATACACACAACATACACACAATATACATACAACATACACACAACATACACACAACATATAAACAACATACATACAACATACACACACCATACACACAACATACACACAATATACATACAACATACACACAATATACACACAATATACACACAACATACACACAACATACACAAAACATACACACAATATACATACAACATACACACAATATACAACAAACACACAATATACACACAACATACACACAATATACATACAACATACACACAACATACACACAACATACACACAATATACATACAACATACACACAACATACACACAACATACACACAATATACACACAATATACAACAAACACACAATAAACATACAACAAACACACAATATACACACAACATACACACAATATACACACAATATATACACAATATATAACAATATACACACTATATACGCGCAATTTATTTATCGGCAACTGGCTGATTAAAAGCTCTGACTGATAAGCCTGGTACGCAATGGTAATTCCGATTTATAGAGAACTTATACATATAATGATTTGGTTTGAGCGTTCTCCAACAAAGACACATGTTTAACGTCCCTAATATGAGCTGAAAATTTGTGATCTCCTCCAAATCTTGTGTTCTCGCGATCTGACCTCATGTCAGCTGGTTTCCAAGGGCGCTTTTTTTCAACATCAAGTGTGACACGTTATTTCAACATGGCGTTAACTGACGTCAAGTGTGACACGTCATATCAACATGGCGTTAACCGACGTCAAGCGTGACACGTCATATCAACATGGCGTCAACTGACGTCAAGCGTGACACGTCATATCAACATGGCGTTAACTGACGTCAAGTGTGACACGTCATATCAACATGGCGTTAACTGACGTCAAGCGTGACACGTCATATCAACATGGCGTTAACTGACGTCAAGTGTGACACGTCATATCAACATGGCGTTAACTGACGTCAAGCGTGACACGTCATATCAACATGGCGTTAACTGACGTCAAGCGTGACACGTCATATCAACATGGCGTTAACCGACGTAAAGCGTGACGTCATATCAACATGGCAGTAATCTGACTTCACACATGACAACGTACCCATTCCGAGTGTTTTCGTACCAGAACCGGTCTCCGTCAATGATGCGCTGGAACTGGTCCTGTATGATGACGGAGAATAGTTTTCCCGGTCCACTTCCCCTTGTCTCCAACAGCCCGCCAGTGATAAGGTCAAGGTCATCAGAGAAGGACGTATTGCCGTACACAGCTCGCAGACTCTGTTCATAGTAGAAGCAAAACGCAGATACTGATATAACGCACAGTTGCAGATGTAGTGCAGATAACCCAACTGCTACGACTTAGTCTCAGTGTAACCGCCTCCGTGGTCTAGTGGTACAGACGTAAAAAAAAGATGTTTAAAGATGGTACTTGTTACCCTTCCTGGCGCTTGGCTTTAAAGGATTAAAACAAGGACTGGTCGGCGCGGAGTCAGAGTGGTGTTATATAAGTGCAATAAACTTTCGCGACGTTAAACCCCATTTCACCTCACCTAGTTTCGATATATTTCAGTTAATGTAGGGGTGAAATGAGAACGCATCGTTGTTATGGCTAAAACCAGTGCCGCTCCTATGCGTTTCTACTTACGTCTTGGAGTCTTGTGTCGTTTGTGACATCACCCCAGGTGGTCGCAGACGACATATTGAGAGCTTGACGGACTGAATTGTAGCTGGCAAGTCCATGATCACGTGACCTTTGAATATCAAGTGCTGCTAGATCTTGCCGCGAAAACTCATACGGCCCGTACAGATACTCTGAAACATGTATACACGATCACAATGTACTAACGTATACTACCCGTGGTGCAGTGGATAGAGCGTCTGCCCAGACAGCGGATGGTAGGTTGCTCGTTTCCCTGGCCCCGTCATACCAAAAGGTGTCAAGTTGTTTTTACACTGCCTGGCGCTCGACATAATTCCGGAGTACTACAATCAGCCACACATATATATGCATGCACGCTTTACAAGTTCAATATACTTGGAAGTTAAATCCCCATTTCGCCTCACTTACAAATACCACACAGAGCAAATCACAACAGACAGAACAAAGAGAATGCGTGTGACGATACTGCTCCGAATAGGTTATAGCTATATATAGAATAGGACATCATTTACAAAAAGATACCCGTGAATATCCGGGGTAGAATATCTCTTCAGCAACCCATGCTTGCCGTAAAAGGCAACACTACAGATCCCATATTAACAGACCCGTGAAGATCCGGGGTAGAATAGGTCTTCAGCAACCCACGCTTGCCGTAAAAGGCGACTATGTTGGTCATAAGATGTGACTAACGGGTTCGGGTGGTCAGGGTCGCTGACTTGGTTGCTGCATGTCATCGGATCCCAATTGTGTCGATCGATGCTCCTGATATAAATCACTGGATTGTCTGGTCGAGACTCGATTATTTACAGACCGCAGTCATATAGCTGGAATATTGCTGACTGCAGCGTTAAACAACAAACAAAACATAAAACAAGAGATTCAATTCGTCTGCAGCAGGAGTTATATATACTCCAATAAAAGTGAGTTACCTCTTAAGTCGGGCACATATGTCGGGTTGTCGGCCTTGGCTTGTGTCAGCGCCATCCCCCGGACAATGCTGTCGATGTTTTGTTGAACCAGATCCTGGAATAAGATATGATCAGCTGAGCTTCACGTGATCAGTGTCTTGTGTCTTCATCGTGAGATTGACTTAAAACGTTTATGACTGCTCTGTAGACATATGGACTTATGCTGATGAACACATTCGCCATAGTCTGACTACTTTAAATACATCTGAGGCGGCTTATTTAATGGTTGAAGTTCAAGGTCACACGCAGTAAAATTAATACGAAAGCATATGTATGTGAGGTGAAGGTGAGGCGGTCCCATATGTATGTGAGGTGAAGGTGAGGCGGTCCCATATGTATGTGAGGTGAAGGTGAGGCGGTCCCATATGTATGTGAGGTGAAGGTGAGGTGGTCCCATATGTATGTGAGGTGAAGGTGAGGCGGTCCCATATGTATGTGAGGTGAAGGTGAGGCGGTCCCATATGTATGTGAGGTGAAGGTGAGGTGGTCCCATATGTATGTGAGGTGAAGGTGAGGCGGTCCCATATGTATGTGAGGTGAAGGTGAGGTGGTCCCATATGTATGTGAGGTGAAGGTGAGGCGGTCCCATATGTATGTGAGGTGAAGGTGAGGCGGTCCCATATGTATGTGAGGTGAAGGTGAGGCGGTCCCATATGTATGTGAGGTGAAGGTGAGGCGGTCCCATATGTATGTGAGGTGAAGGTGAGGTGGTCCCATATGTATGTGAGGTGAAGGTGAGGCGGTCCCATATGTATGTGAATCCCAGGCCCTGAAAGGCCAAGCATGGGCTACGCCATGTACGTATGGGTTAATGTATGTGTTATACTTGTACGTATGGGTAAATGTATGTGTTATACTTGTACGTATGGGTAAATGTATGTGTTATACTTGTACGTATGGGTTAATGTATGTGTTATACTTGTTCGTATGGGTAAACGTATATGTTATGCTTGTACGTTAGGGTGCAAGTGTGTTTTATTCCCTCTACGAAAGGGTAAAAATGTGTGTACTGCTGAAAGGATGTCACACCATCTATGAACGTCTGAAAGGATGTGTTATATCGTGTACCTGAGAGTCCCAGTATGTGTTATACAATGTACCTGAGAGTCCCAGTATGTGTTACACAATGTACATGAGAGTCCGAGTATGTGTTATACAATGTACATGAGAGTCCCAGTATGTGTTACACAATGTCCATGAGAGTCCCAGTATGTGTTATACAATGTACATGAGAGTCCCAGTATGTGTTATACAATGTACCTGAGAGTCCCAGTATGTTTTATGCAATGTACATGAGAGTCCCAGTATGTGTTATACAATGTACATGAGAGTCCCAGTATGTGTTATACAATGTACCCGAGAGTCCCAGTATGTGTTATACAATGTACCTGAGAGTGCAAGTATGTGTTATACAATATACATGAGAGTCCGAGTATGTGTTATACAATGTACATGAGAGTCCCAGTATGTTTTATGCAATGTACATGAGAGTCCCAGTATGTGTTATACAATGTACCTGAGAGTCCCAGTTTGTGTTATACAATGTGCCTGAGAGTCCCAGTATGTGTTATACAATGTACATGAGAGTCCCAGTATGTGTTATACAATGTACATGAGAGTCCCAGTATGTGTTATACAATGTACCTCAGGGTCCCAGTATGTGCTATACAATGTACATGAGAGTCCCAGTTTGTGTTATGCAATGTACCTGAGAGTCCCAGTATGTGTTACATAGCCTGATGGCTTGGACGGGCCTGGTTTCGCCCTGCGAACCCTGGTCGGACGTCACTGTCTCGGTGCAGGTGTCACTGGAACATATCGCAGGTGAACGTCACTCTACATAAACCAACACGTTGACATCACTCAACATAAACCAACACGTTGACATCACTCTACATAAACAAACACGTTGACATCACTCTACATAAATCAACACGTTGACATCAAATAGTCGGGCTGGTTGTGAAACAAATATGAATAACCTTTCTGCACTGGGTGATTTTCAGACATTAGCATTAGTGCATTGACTGAGACCTGATGGTATAAATACCGTTTACCTGATTGTCCAGACGCCGGCGGGGACGAGGGTGTGGCCGTACTTCATGGCTGCCATAGCAAACTCCTGCGTCACACCTGGATGTACCCTTGGGTTGTACCCTGGGGGAGATGCATATAGTTGTACAAAGATTATCTTGGTAGATGCACCCTGGGGGAGATGCATGTGTGGGTAGAGTATATATATAGTTGTACAAAGATCATCTGGGTAGAGGCACCCTGGGGGAGATACATGTGTGGGTAGAGTATATATAGTTGTACAAAGATTATCTTGGTAGATGCACCCTGGGGGAGATGCATGTGTGGGTAGAGTATATATAGTTGTACAAAGATCATCTGGGTAGATGCACCCTGGGAGAGATGCATGTGTGGGTAGAGTTTATATAGTTGTACAAAGATCATCTGGGTAGAGGCACCCTGGGGGAGATACATGTGTAGGTAGAGTTTATATAGTTGTACAAAGATCATCTGGGTAGATGCACCCTTGGGGAGATGCATATAGTTATACAAAGATCATCTGGGTAGATGCACCCTGGGGGAGATGCATGTGTGGGTAGAGTACATATAGTTGTACAAAGATCATCTGGGTAGATGCACCCTGGGGGAGATGCATGTGGGGATAGAGTATATATAGTTGTACAAAGATCATCTGGGTAAAGGCACCCTGGGGGAGATGCATATAGTTATACAAAGATCATCTGGGTAGAGGCACCCTGGGGGAGATGCATGTGTGGGTAGAGTTTATATAGTTGTACAAAGATCATCTGGGTAGATGCACCCTTGGGGAGATGCATATAGTTATACAAAGATCATCTGGGTAGATGCACCCTGGGGGAGATGCATGTGTGGGTAGAGTATATATAGTTGTACAAAGATCATCTGGGTAGAGGCACCATGGGGGAGATACATGTGTAGGTAGAGTTTATATAGTTGTACAAAGATCATCTGGGTAGATGCACCCTTGGGGAGATGCATATAGTTATACAAAGATCATCTGGGTAGATGCACCCTGGGGGAGATGCATGTGTGGGTAGAGTATATATAGTTGTACAAAGATTATCTGGGTAGAGGCAGCCTGGGGGAGATACATGTGTGGGTAGAGTATATATATAGTTGTACAAAGATCATCTGGGTAGATGCACCCTGGGGGAGATGCATGTGTGGATAGAGTATATATAGTTGTACAAAGATCATCTGGGTAGAGGCACCCTGGGGGAGATGCATGTGTGGGTAGAGTATATATATAGTTGTACAAAGATCATCTGGGTAGAGGCACCCTGGGGGAGATGCATGTGTGGGTAGAGTATATATATAGTTGTACAAAGATCATCTGGGTAGAGGCAGCCTGGGGGAGATACATGTGTGGGTAGAGTATATATATAGTTGTACAAAGATCATCTGGGTAGAGGCACCCTGGGGGAGATACATGTGTGGGTAGAGTATATATAGTTGTACAAAGATCATCTGGGTAGAGGCACCCTGGGGGAAATACATGTGTGGGTAGAGTATATATATAGTTGTACAAAGATT